CGTGACGGGTCGGCTGGCCCACCACAGAAGCACGGCACACCCCCCGCCCCCCCCCCCCCCCCCTCCCCCCCCCCCCCCCCCCCCCACACATCCACACCCCACACCCTCACACTCTTTTGTCTTGATAATGACTCCTAAAGTAGTCGAAACGTCGACAAAATTTCCTTATTCTTATTCAATAATAAAAAACACTATTTTAAAAGCTGCTGTTAAACGAATAATCTTCATAACTGAGAATAAATTGTTAAAATAACTGAATTGTCAAGGATTTTAGGCGTTATATGATGTAGAGAAATGTATGAGGTTCAGTACTTCATCTCTTGTTGAACCATATGATGAAATTAACATTTGTCTGAAAAGTCCAACATCAATATGTTGTGTGTTTCAAATAATGCGCAATTTGTAATGTGACGATGATAAACAAGACATATCATATCTAACAGAAGGTGAGCTTATCAGTTGGCTACGATGGCAAATACCAAGTATGCAGTCATCTATTGAAACATTTTATTGAAGTAATATCATCGTATTGAGATTATAGTAAATAGAAGCCTATTTGATGATATCCCATACACTTGTTTTCATTACATGTGTACTTATTTTATCCGTTTTATTGCTTCATAGTGATATTTTCTATTAACAATAATGTCCATACGATACTAATTTTTACAATAAAACATCAAGAGGGACACAGAATAAATAAAAACAAATAACAAATGTGTTGAGAAAAACGAGAGAAATTCTGTAAAGAGCTATCAGATGATTCTAATCAATAATTTTTAGTCTGACTACTATAATGACAATTGAAATATCAATTTTTATTCTTCTAATGAGGAAACATAAGACTGTCACCAATATTATGAGCAAACTAGGTAGATGTGCATACATGATACTTTTCATTTCCAACTAATTATAAATCAAAAAAGAATAGATGTCCATGTCGATATTCTCTTCATCTACACTTACACACTACAAGTTGAAAAAATTAAAATAAATATAAAGAGAAATTCAAAAGTAGCCGAACACATGCACAAACAAAATAAATTCATTGCTTAAATATGAATCACTTAATCTTTATTTCAGATGAAATTGTAGCTAATTGATGAAATCTTTTGATTCTAGATGCACCAACAACTTGTATCATTAAATTCTTTATCGAGACCATAGGTTTCAACTTTTGTATCAAATTCTTTTTCAATCACTATGATCCAGTTCAATATTTGACTTCGACTTTTAACACAAAATTCATCTAAACGTTGATCGGTATGACAGAAGTAGGCTGTATCATGCGTATCCCACCAATCATTTTTACCGCGATACAAATTTCTCTGTTCTGGGTCCAATTTCAGTACTTCACCCATGTCAATTTCAGCACATATATAAGCACCATGACGATTAGCTTTTCTTTCGGTTCCTTCCATTGATCGAGCAAAATAGACACCATGCCCTATCATTGTACTTTCATAATTTGTGCTAATTCTAAAGTCCGAGTGGGCAATTTGTATAGCTGAACTCGGATCAGTTTGATGAAAACCAATATAACGATTTTCTCCGGGTTCTTTTCGTTGAATATCAAAATAGCGTGCTTGTGGATGGAAACCTCGAAAATGAAATATTAAAATATGCTCTAAAAGACGATTT